ATGAAAAATATTCATAGAGTGATTGATGCACGTCGGATGAATCGTGTGGTGAATAAAGAAAAAGTGAAGAGTCTATCTGTTCTTTTGTTTTTTAACATGGAGTCTCTATCCCTACTCAAGTGCAGTTGGGGTATATGAACTACAGAGTCAAAGCATTTATCCCAAGACCAATGCAGTGTGATCAATGTAAAGCTTTTGATCATGTTTCAAGTGTTTGCAGAAGGGAGAAGCCGAGATGTCCAAGTTGTGTTAAAGATCATGTCATGTGTTTTAAAAGTGATGAAAATGTGACATGTTGCAATTGTGGTGGGAACCATGAAGCCATATCTTTCAAATGCCTGACAAGGGTGAAAGAGAATGAGGTGGCCAAAGTCAGGGCTGTCCAGAGCATTTCATATGCAGCAGCTGTTAAAAGGGTTGAGGATTTGAATGGTGCACCTGAAGAGTCCATGGTGGTGGATAGGCCTTCACTGCAGGCTGCAGGGGTTGCCTTTGACCAGCAGGATCCTGACATTTTAAAGGTTAAGAAAGTGGACTTTGTGGCCTTTATAGCTATGGTGATTAATGGCACTGCCAAGGTGGAGAGAAGGTCCAGGAAGATAGATATCATTGTGGATGCGGCGGAGAAGTTCCTGGGACTGAAAGATTTCTCGGCAGAGGAGTTACATAGAATATTGTCACAAGCCGTACCACCCTCTCAGGCCTTAGAGCCTGAGAAGGGAGATATGGAAATTTGAAAGAAGGAAGAAGTTGGAGTTTTGTTTTGTTTTTGTCAATGAGTTATTTTTTATTTGGGGGGATGAAGTTATTTTCCTATTACGTATGGATTTTATTTGTTTTACCTTGTTTTGGTTGCAATACAACTTTTTGGTCCTCCTTTTATTTTTCACTCGCAAGGGGCGCTGTAGTTTTCAAAGCGTCGCATTGACGTGTGTACTTGTGGAGTTGCGTCGTGTTGTCAAAAAGGATTTGCTCGGCGAGGAGAATTTGCAAATGGAGGAGGGTTTTCTCTAAACAACGGAAGGTTTGTTGCTTGATCAACTTCTTCTTCTGTAAACCAGGCAAGATGTTCTGAGAACAATAATGTCGTTGTATAATGGATTATCTCGAACAAGCCCGTTGGCTTGCTGCCTTTTACGACTCATTACGCGACGCGATTTAGCTAGCTAACGCTAACCAGCTAACGAGGCCTCGTTGTTTTTATTTGATTTAACCTTTATTTAACCAGGTAAGCCAGTTGAGAACAAGTTCTCATTTACAACTGCGACCTGGCCAAGATAAAGCAAAGCAGTGCGATAAAAACAACCACAGAGTTACATATGGGGTAAACAAAACAAAAAGTCAAAAATACAACAGAAAATATATATACAGTGTGTGCGAATGTAGTAAATTATGGAGGTAAGGCAATAAATAGGCCATAGTGCAAAATAGTTACAATTTCGTATTAACACTGGAATGATAGATGTGCAAAATATGATGTGCAAATAGAGATACTGGGGTGCAAATTAGGAAAATAAATAAGAATATGGGGATGAGGTAGTTGGATGGCCTAATTACAGATGGGCTGTGTACAGGTGCAGTGATCGGTTAGAGAGGGAGATAAGAGTCTCCAGCTTCAGAGATTTTTGCAGTTCGTTCCAGTCATTGGCAGCAGAGCACTGGAAGGAATGGCGGCCAAAGGAGGTGTTGGAGGCTATTTTGTAAATGACATCGTAGAAGTCAAGGATCGGTAGGATAGTCAGTTTTACGAGAGCATGTTTGGCAGCATGAGTGAAGGAGGCTTTGTTGCGAAATATAGGAAGCCGATTCTAGATCTAACTTTTGATTGGAGATGTTTAATGTGAGTCTGGAAGGAGAGTTTACAGTCTAACCAGACACCTAGGTATTTGTAGTTGTCCACATACTCTAGGTCAGACCCGCCGAGAGTAGTGATTCGCGGGTGCAAGCAGCGTTCGGTTGAAGAGCATGCATTTAGTTTTACTAGTGTTTAAGAGCAGTTGGAGGCTACGGAAGGAGTGTTCTATGGCGTTGAAGCTTGTTTGGAGGTTTGTTAACACAGTGTCTAATGAAGGGCCAGATGTATACAAAATGGTGTCGTCCGCATAGAGGTGGATCCGAGCGTCACCAGCAGCAAGAGCAACATCATTGATATACACAGAGAATAGAGTCGGCCTGAGAATTGAACCCTGTGGCACCCCCAGAGACTGCCAGAGGTCCAGACAACAGGCCCTCCGATTTGACACACTGAACTCTATCTGAGAAGTAGTTGGTGAACCAGGCGAGGCAGTCATTTGAGAAACCAAGGCTATTTAGTCTGCCAATAAGAATGCGGTGGTTGACAGAGTCGAAAGCCTTGGCCAGGTCGATGAAGACGGCTGCGCAGTACTGTCTTTTATCGATCGCGGTTATAATATCATTTAGGACCTTGAGCGTGGCTGAGGTGCACCCATGACAAGCTCGGAAACCGGATTGCATAGCGGAGGAGGTACGGTGGGATTCTAAATGGTTGGTGACCTGTTTGTTAACTTGGCTTTCAAAAACTTTCGCAGGGCAGGATGGATATAGGTCTGTAACTGTTTGGATCTAGAATGTCACCCCCTTTGAAGAGGGGGATGACCGCAGCAGCTTTCCAATCTCTGGGGATCTCAGACGTTACGAAAGAGAGGTTGAACAGGCTAGTAAGAGGGGTTGCGACAATTTCGGCGGCTAATTTTAGAAAGAAAGGGTCCAGATTGTCTAGCCCAGCTGATTTGTAGGGGTCCAGATTTTTCAGCTCTTTCAGAACATCAGCTGTTTGAATTTGTGTAAAGGAGAAGCGGGGGGGGGGGCATGGGCAAGTTGCAGCGGAGGGTGCAGAGCTGGTGGCCGGGGTAGTGGTAGCCAGGTGGAAAGCATGGCCAGCCGTAGCAAAATGCTTGTTGAAATTCTCGATTATTGTAGATTTATCAGTGGTGACAGTGTTTCCTAACCTCAGTGCAGTGGGCAGTTTGGAGGAGGTGCTCTTATTCTCCATGGACTTTACAGTGTCCCAAAACTTTTTGGAGTTAGTGCTACAGGGTGAACATTTCTGTTTGAAAAAGCTAGCCTTTGCTTTCCTAACTGATTGTGTATATTGGTTCCTGACTTCCCTGAAAAGTTGCATATCGCGGGGGCTGTTCTATGCTAATGCAGTACGCCACAGGATGTTTTTGTGCTGGTCAAGGGCAGTCAAGTCTGAGGAGAACCAGGGGCTATATCTGTTCTTAGTTCTGAATTATTTGAATGGGGCATGATTATTTAAGATTGAGAGGAAATCACTTTTAAAGAACAACCAGGCATCCTCTACTGATGGAATGAGGTCAATATCCATCCAGGATGTTTTTGTGCTGGTCTAATTTACGGTTACAGAAGTCAACAAATGATAACGCCTGGGGAGTAGGAGTGATACTGGGGGCTACAGTGCCTGGGTTAACCTCTACATCACCAGAGGAACAGAGGAGGAGTAGAATAAGGATACGGCTAAAGGCTTTAAGAACTGGTCTTCTAGTGCGTTGGTTACAGAGAAAAAAAGAGGCAGATTTCCGGGCGTTGTAGAATAGATTCAGGGCATTATGTACAGACAAGGATATGGAAGGATATGAGTACAATGGAGGTAAACCTAAGCGTTGGGTAACGATGAAAGAGAGAGCATCACTGGAGACACCGATTGAGTCGGTCTCCGCGTGTATGGGGGGTGGGACAAAGGAGCTGTCTAAGGCAGGTTGAGCTGGGCTGGGAGCTCTACAGTGAAATAGTACAATAAGAAATAACCGAAACAGCAATAAGCAAGGCATATTGACATGGGAGAGAGGCATAAAGCAATCACAGGTGTTATTCGAGAGAGCTAAGACAACAGCTGGTAATGGCGACAAAGTTTGGGCTGAGGCTAAACATAAACAGGATGCGGTACCGTATAAAGGAACAGTCCAGCAGGCATCAGCTGTATAGCTGAGTTAACATAAGGTCCAGTGAACAGCAATAGGAGAGTTCGGAGGTAGTTCGGGGGCTGCTACAGCACTGGCGAGCAAGAGGCCCAGCTTGCGTGTGCTAGCGGGCCGGGGCTAGCAGATGGATCTTCGTGGTCGACGTCGTAATGAGAAGCCTGTTGAAACCACATCAGACGATTTCGACGGCAAACCAGTCGTGTTGGATTGGCGGGGCTCCGTGTCAGCACTAGGAGGTCCCGTCCGGTTGACAGAGAGGTAGATAGCTGGGAGATGGGCCTGGCTCGAGGTTAGCTCAAGGCTAACTGGTGCTTGCTAAGGGGCAATGGTAATTAGCCAACGACAACAGCCATTTGGTTGCAGCTAGCTGGTTGCGATGATCCGGCGCTAGGGTCCAGTGATTCCGGCAGAAAATCCGATATGCTCTGTGTCGATAGCACGCTGTGCAGACTGGCTGACAAATTGTCCAGGCTAGAGCTGGCTGGTGGGTAGTGCAGGCCACGGACAATGGTGAAGACACTAAAGGTGGCTGATAGCAAGTAGCCATTCGGTTGCAGCTAGACTAGTTTCAGCTTAAGGTTCTTGATAAAAGTTATAAAGAAATGATACAATCATTTTCACTATGGGTGAGGTGGGTTGCAGGAAAGTATATTTAGTTAAAGAATGAAAAGTAAAATTTAGAAATGTATACAAAATAGACAAAAAAACAAAAAGAACAGGCTATTTACACAAGGACACAGAAAAAAACATGACCGCACTGCTACGCCATCTTGGATTTGCCTTCAATTATTCTGTATTTTGTGTCCAAATAACTTATTAGCCTGAACCATGTCGTTAACACTTGAAATGGACAAGGTAACAAGCCAGCTAACGTAGCTTCCTAGCGTTAACAATGTTTTGTTACTGTAACAGACCGCTTGTCTCTACCCTAGCTTTCTTGTCATGCCAACCAAGATCAGGTCAGGTAACTAGCTAGCTAATCTGCTTAGGTAAGTGAAAAGAGCCTTGTTTAACATTTTGCCATATTAACCATTTTCTCAGGGGGAGAAATCGTTATGTCTGAGGCTCTTTATGAAAAGTTCCTCGCCCCCGAGGAACCCTTTCCACTGCTATCGCAGCGAGGGAACTTCAGTGAGGCAGGCACGTTGGATGTTAGTGACTTTGGCTTTCAGTTGTCGTCTTGTCACCGGACAGACCCTCTGCGCCGCTTCCATAGTAACAGGTAAGACCTGATACCTGTTTTTTGGCTTGCGTAACACCTTTCAAAACAAGACAGTAATGTTAGTGTAACTTAGTTGTTCATATAGGCTAAACCAACCACACCAAAATGGTCAATTTTGTTGATTGTTTTCAGATGGAACCTGACTTCCTGTGGAACCAGTGTGGCCAGCTCAGAATGCAGCGAGGAACTGTTCTCCTCCGTCTCCGTGGGAGACCAGGAGGACTGCTACTCCCTCCTGGACGACCAGGAGTTCACCTCCTTCGACCTGTTCCCAGAGGGCAGCGTCTGCAGCGATGTGTCCTCCTCTATCAGCACTTACTGGGACTGGTCAGACAGTGAATTTGAGTGGCAGGTAGGCTAGGCCCAATGTGATGACAAATATTATTGGCAGCGTATGTTGGTAGTTGTTACATTTGGAGTAATAACGTTTTTGGTTTATCCACAGTTGCCTGGAAGCGACATAGCCAGTGGAAGTGATGTGCTCTCTGACATCATACCCAGTGTTCCCAGCTCCCCATGCCTTTCCTCCAAGAGAAAGACCAAACCACATAGAAATCTGGATGAGCTCCCCTGGAGTGCTATGACCAATGATGAACAGGTATGGAAACCTGCTCTCAAATTTACAATGCCATGAATTGTAAAGCAGCAGTTGCAGATGTGTTTCATGCTTTGTCTGCCTCTCAGGTGGAATATATTGAATATCTGAGCAGAAAAGTCAGCACGGAGATGGGGCTACGAGAGCAGTTGGACATCATCAAGATCATTGACCCGTGTGCACAGATATCCCCCACAGACAGCGAGTTTATCATCGAGCTCAACTGCCTGACGGACGAAAAACTGAAACAGGTGAGTGAATAGCTCAATATGACAACATTTTTCTACTTGGATTGTGACACCATGTGCTGGGTAGTGTACTTCGATCTAAATGAGCATACTTTTCAGAAGTGTGTTGAACCTGAGGCCTAAACATTCATATCGAACAGGTGAGGAACTACATCCGGGAGCACAGTCCACGACAGCGCCCAAGCAGCACCCGGGACAGCTGGAAGAGGAGTGGCCACAGCAGTGCTAGCACCAGCGGGGTGAGTGGGGCCAGCAGCAGCAACGCTAGCATGGTCAGCAGTGCCAGCAGCTCTACCGGATCCACAGGCTCTACCGGCAACTCTGCCTCCAACTGCAGCGCGGCTAACATCAGCCGCGCCCACAGCGACGGGAACCTGTCCAGTGCCGCTGAGCGCATCCGGGACTCCAAGGTAAGGAAGGGGCTTCACTCTGACTGTTAGAGTACACTATGGCTGGTATTGTGCTCCTCCTCGTCGAATACTTAAATGTACCAGTGTTTTCATTTGCCAGTAATTGCTGGCTTTTGGCAGATAAAAAAACATAAAAAACAACTAATAAAAACATTGCCGGACACATTGCCCAGCAGAAAATATCCTGATGGAAATGAATCTCCTTTATACACACATTGGCTATGCATAGTTGGTTTAGTTTGTCTTTCAATCGCATCATCATTACTCTTCCTGTCTACTCTGCCTGTCTGTCTTGAGCTTGCACTCGCTAGTGAACTTGCAAATTTGTATCAACTTGTACTGGCAGCAATGTTTCCCGCGCCATTATGTCGGTGACCGACACAGCTGGGATATTGTGTGTAGATTGAGGGGGAAAAAACTATTTAATCCATTTTAGAATAAGGCTGTAACGTAACAGAATGTGGAAAAAGTCAAGGGGTCCGAATACTTCCTGAATGCACTACACTACCGTTCAAAAGTTTGGGGTCACTTAGAAATGTCCTTGGCAGCTTCATTAAATAGTACCCGCAAAACACCAGTTGCAAAGAAAAAGCCATATCTCAGACTGGCCAATAAAAGATTAAGATGGGCAGTCTGAGATATATATTTTTCTTTGCAACTCTGCCAAGAAGGTCAGCATCTTCATTGTTGACGTTGAGACTGGTGTCTTCACTATTATTCTACAATGTAGAAAATAGTAAAAATAAAGAAAAACCCTTGAATGAGTAGGTGTTCTAAAACTTTTGACCGTGTGTGTGTGTGTGTGTGTGTATACAGTTGAAGTCGGAAATTTACATACACATAGGTTGGAGTCATTTAAACTTGTTTTTCAACCACTCCACAAATTTCTTGTTAACAAACTATAGCTTTGGCAAATCGGTTAGCATGACACAAGTAATTTTTCCAACAATTGTTTATAGACAGATTATTTCAATTATAATTCACTGTATCACAATTCCAGTGGGTCAGAAGTTTACATACACTAAGTCGACTGTGCCTTTTAAACAGCTTGGAAAATTCCAGAAAATGTCATTGCTTTAGAAGCTTCTGATAGGCTAATTGACATCAATTGGAGGTGTACCTGTGGATGTATTTCAAGGCCTACCTTCAAACTCAGTGCCTCTTTGCTTGACATCATGGGAAAACCAAAAGAAAAAAAATTGTAGACCTCCACAAGTCTGGTTCATCCTTAGGAGCAATTTCCAAACGCCTGAAGGTACCACGTTCATCTGTACAAACAATAGTACGCATGTATAAACACCATGGGACCACGCAGCCGTCATACTGCTTAGGAAGGAGACGCGTTCTGTCTCCTACCGATGAACGTACTTTGGTGCGAAAAGTGCAAATCAATCCCAGAACAACAGCAAAGGACCTTGTGAAGATGCTGGAGGAAATAGGTACAAAAGTATCTATATCCACAGTAAAACAAGTCCTATATCGACATAACCTGAAAGGCCCATCAGCAAGGAAGAAGCCACTGCTCCAAAACCGCCATAAAAAAGCCAGACTACGGTTTGCAACTGCACATGGGGACAAAGATCTTACTTTTTGGAGAAATGTCCTCTGGTCTGATGAAACAAAAATAGAACTGTTTGGCCATAATGACCATCGTTATGTTTGGAGGAAAGTTTGCAAGCTAAAGAACACCAGCCCCGTGTAGCTCAGTTGGGAGAGCATGGCGCTTGCCACGCCCGGGTTGTTGGTTCGTTTCCCACGTGGGGCCAGTATGAAAAGAAAAAAAAAGTGTGTGCGAGCAAGGAGGCCTACAAACCTGACTCAGTTACACCAGCTCTGTCAGGAGGAATGGGCCAACATTCACCCAACTTATTGTGGGAAGCTTGTGTAAGGTTACCCGAAACGTTTGACCCAAGTTAAACAATTTAAAGGCAATACTAATTGAGTGTATGTAAACTTCTGACCAACTGGGAATGTGATGAAATAAATAAAAGCTGAAAGAAATCATTCTCTCTAATATTATTCTGACATTTCACATTCTTAAAATAAAGTGTTGTTCCTAATTAACCTGAGACTGAATTTTTACTAGGATTAAATGTCAGGAATTGTGAAAAACTGAGTTTAAATGTATTTGGCTAAGGTGTATGTAAACTTCTGACTTCAACTGTGTGTGTGTGTGATATATATATGTAGTATATATATAAGTATATATATAAGTATATATATAAGTATACAAAACATCAAGAACACCTGCTCTTTCCATGACAGACTGACCATGTAAATCCAGGTGAAAGTTATGATCCCTTTTTGATGTCACTTGTTATATCCACTTCAGTCCAGAAAGTGGCGCAGCTCCTCTCTTAGTCTTTGGGGAGAACCCTGTGTCTTGTGTGCTTGGTGTGCCACTGCCACACATTGCTTATGTTATTTTACTATTTGTGTTGTAGAAACGTTCTAAGCAGAGAAAGCTGCAGCAGAAAGCTCTGCGTAAGAGACAGCTGAAGGAGCAGAGACAGGCCCGCAAGGAGAGGCTGAGTGGCCTGTTCCTCAATGAAGAGGTGCTGTCGCTCAAAGTCACAGAGGAGGAGGACCGTGGAGAAGATGTGGTCGACGTCTTGATGTGACAAGAGTGAATGAGTCAGTGTTCCCTCTAAGCCTCACAATAACATCTTCCACAAATGTTGCAGGTGGTCCCACATCCTAGAGCCCCGTTCACATTGAAGCAAAGCTGCCCTATTGGAATCATTCTGGAGTTCTATTTTATATCCTTAGAACAGGACGCCTGCACAGAATTCTAAAAACTGAAGCATCTTATGTTTACGAGAAACTCATACTGAGTTTTCTTTTTCTTTAATGTATGAACATTGGGAGAATTATTCTGCTGAGGCAAAAAAATAAACTGAGCATTAATATTGAATAGGAGTATTCAAGTAAAACTACTAAATGTACTACCAAGATTAACTTGATGATTCTGTGATTCATTTAACCTTGAAGGCGTAGAGGGAACACTGAATCAATGCATGGTGAACTAACAGTTGACATTATGAGTTGTAAATGCTTATTAACATATTTTCAATGGCTTCTTGATATGTTTTTTGTATATAAATGCAGTTAAATCTTAAAGAACAGTTTTTACATAAAGGTTTCCCCTTAAGTTAAAAGTTGAAGGCCTACATGTTCATAAACACAACAGGGTTAAGTGGTAATACATAGTTGGCCTCTAACAGATGCATAGAAGTGCAACATTGAATCCTGCATTGTCAAAAGTCTAATTTAATAATTCACAGAAATCTGTTTTTATTTTCCTTGTGGTGTCTTTTGTGCATTGGGGGGGGGATAGGGTTGAGAATTAAATGTAAAGTAATGCAGGTATCCAGTGCATTGCAAATTAGAGAGATTCCCATGTTGTTGAATACCATGGAACTGTAGTATGACTGCATGGTCTTTAGATGAGAAGGTATTTCTTGACATCTTTGCTTACTCTCCTTGGATATTGTGGTGGACCCCATCCTGTGGAGCTACAGTATTTACTCTTTCAACATGAACACTTAACACTAACTACTGTACATTATAAAATGTATTTACCTAAAGAAGCTTTATCATCTGTATACTTCGCTTTGTCTTTTTTCTGTATAAAGTTACCCCTTTTGAGTAATTATAAAAACAATATATTAGATCAACTAGATATTGTGAGTAGATCTTTATTTTGAATGGGGGAAAAAATATGAAAGCCATGAAACATAACTATTTCTGTATATATTGTACCATTAATTCTGGGGAACAAAGGTTACTGGACCAGGTTAGGGATTATTCATTGCTGCTTTCTTGGGTGTCCAATTTCAAGTTGCTGTATATGCCACAACAATGTATTCTTGACATGAGCGAGATATTGCGAAATGTAGTTGCAGAACAGAAGCATACCAGAATGCAGTTGTTTCTGTGTAATATACTCAATTGTAATGTAACGCAAATTGAGAAATAAATTGCCATCGATGCATCAAATTTTCCTTCAGATTTGTATCTTTTAATTTTCACCAGTGAGAGGTATCACCTTGATTGACTATATATTGATAAACCATACTTCTTGATTGGCTATTGCAACACAAAACGGCTACAACGGAGCAACCACACCAAAGCCACTTACAAGGGCAATATACAATATCAATGAGAAAAAGTACAATTACACCTCTGTAAATATATGAATTCACAAAATGCATACTAAATATGACTATAACGTGACAAACTAATCCTAAAATTGAGTAGTTTTATCTTGTTAATAGGACATTGGTGGTAACATGTCTGGGACTGACATTTTGTTAAGATTCATGTATTTTATTGTTGTGTTTACACATCAGTTCAGTATGTGGAACAGCATGCAGTGGCAAAGGAGTTCATCATTTGAGCTTCATTGCAAATCAATTTCCTCTATCGGGAGACTGAAGGTCAATAGGTAGTGCATTAGTTAGAATAAATACATTATAGGTATAAACCGAGAGAACAGTTATGCAAGGGAAAGATGTTGTGTAAATGAAGGCGGTGAAATAGATCTGTGATTAATCATTGTCTTAGTGACTCCTCATAGTCCAGGGTACATTAGAAATGTGTTTGCTTAGCTACATTAGTGTTATCTGGAATAGATACAAGCACATCCTCAGCTGGACAGTAATGGTGATAGATACACTATATCATTTGATTGGATCCTGGATAATAGCAATTCCAACCACTAACTAAAACTGGATGCAAAATGATCTGAATAAACTTGGCTCTTGTAATTTAATACTTGATTAATCAAAAAAGTAATAGTTAATGTAGCCTATCAATGTTTCTGACGTCTACTTAATTAGAGACCCATTTCCCTCTAAATACAATGATGCCTGAAACTCAGTCCAGCTCTTGGACCAAATCTGGTTATTTTGTCTGCACTGGGAATACATTCTGGCAAGTATATCCCACTATCCCACTGCAATAGTTTTTGATGGGAGGGTTTTAAGTAAACCTTGAAGGTAATTGGCAGCAGGTGCACATTTCAATAGAGGGGCTTTTTACAGTAATGAACTTCCAGGCATACGGATGATTAGCCAATAAACAATATCAGTAGGGTGACCATTCTACCTTCACATCACGCAGGCTGGTGCTGAGAATTGCTACCAGGGAATGGGACTTTTACACAGTTGATCCATCGACACTGCTATTGCTGCACCAATGCCTTCAGCCTTATTTAATGCACAATGTAATGTATTTTGTTTAAATTCTCTGTGGGCCCAAGCAAATGAATAGTATATAATTTATGGAGCAACAAACAACAAGTGCTTGATGAACTAATGTAATAGGTAAACTCAAGTGGCACCGAATAGATTATGCCAGTTTATGAACTTCTTGCGATTATTACTTACCAAGAAACCTTAAAAATCTTACTGAGAAGGGATGGTCCATTTTCAAGTGAGCACATCCCTTTTTCCACGAACGTCATCAGATACAGTACTGCTACACCCACAATTTCTCTGAATTGAGATAAGTGAGCCCTAGGTGGCCAAATCAGCATAATCTGAGGAAATAGTCTGCATGAGAAAAACCTATTGTCAATGCAGCGGCTATCTTTGTTTTGTGTAGTGTACACAGACTGTCTAGCAGAAATAAGTATTTAATCATGCACCATTGCCTTTCTGATGGTTCTATTCTATTGGTTCCATCCAAGAGAATAGATTAATCAGAGCCACAAATTCCTCCCTGTGCTTCTTACTGTATACTAAGCGCACCAGCAATGTGTACAACCCTAATCGGAGGCAATACACTTTTTAGGAGAACATAATCAAACTTGCACGTGTAGGAACTGTAGTGCTGATGGTATCAGTTAGAGCTGATAGGGTGAATTGGCAGAGAAGCGGATGAGTCAAGTTTATTTTGATAATGCTCTGAGTCAAGATGTGGTGGTGAATGTCAGTCTCTTCACCCATGAAACAATTTAATGGCCCCTGTCTTCATGGCTAGTTGAGCAGTAATCGTCACAATAGGTGTGTTATTTGTCTGGTAAGTGGCTCCGGCCAACAGATAAGGCAGGACCAAAGTCATTCCCATCCGATTTCAGCAGGCATCTAAAGCTTTGCTCAATCAGTTATTGCCTTACGTGTTTTCCGTTGTCAGGTAGGCTGCTCCTGAAATCCAACCTGACTATTGTTTAGATAGAGGACCCTAATGGACTCATCTGGAGAAAGTGTTTATCTAGTTATTTATTTGTTGTATCATGGTGTCCCCTTGTTAGCTGGTCTATTGCTTTTGAGATGGTGTGTTTGTGTATGAGGCATTTTAAAGAGGTTTTGATTGACCAATTACAGAGTGATAGGTAAATGCCTCTTTCCCTTTTAACAAAGTCATAAACTTTATGTGAAAGCTTGGTCACTGTCATTTACGACTGAACATAACCTGTGTGAGCTGTGTGAATAAAGGCATACTTAACAATCTGACACTATGCCACTGGAAATGTCAGGTGCATATTGAAAAGGTAATGTTCAAGTGGTACACACATTATATTTTTTTATATCATTTTTTATTGTCTATATAGTTACATTATTTATCGAAAATATATAGTAAAGACGTTTTGCTGACATCCAGTAAATTATACAACACAAACATTTAAACATTGAATCTTATTATGCTCACATACAGCTAACAAAACATTGCACAAATTGTAACCAGGCATGGACGAGATGGACAGGATAATGTCCCGTAATGTGTTGGACTACTGCATGTGGACGGAGTGCTCCTTGTTGTGGCCAGTGCTAAGTAGCCTCCTGTCATTGTCCAGCATGGCGGCAGGGCTGGCCTGGGATGGTCTGGTAGGTTTGGTCATCAGGGTTGGAGTGTTACCCAATGGATTCATCAGGGTTAAAAACCTAAGGAGAGAAAAATAACTACGTATTTTTTTTTTTATCCGCTACTGAGTTAACCCAAGTCTTGTAACTTAGTTGGTATACAGTATAACATATGAACCAGAAGACTGATATACCTGCTGAAGTTTGGATGGATAAAAGGATGTCCACACAGTGAGGCCCAGGCCAGAGTGCTAATACCCAGGGTTCCCACAGAGTCAGGTGCATACACAGAGGCTCTGTGTCGGGCTCCCCCCCAGGATGGCTCCACCACAGAGGCCTGGTGCAAGGGGACATCCAGGTAAAGGCCCAGGGAGTTGGTTAGAGGTAGCCCAGGGAGGGAGCTCAACACTCCAGCCTTCTCGTGCTTACGCCACTTGGCTCTGCGGTTCTGAAACCAAACCTAGACACAAAGTGGAGAAAAGCCAAGAGTGTATAAGGGTCTTGTGAAAACAAAAACATTAGCTGGCCGGAAGCAAGCGCACATTAAGAGATTTGGTTCTGGGTTGCCGAGATTAAGAGTATATTGATGGATCCATGACTGAATAATATCTGTTGCATATTAACTCAATACTAAATAAGAACCATCTCCAAGGTCAAGCAACATGTCTTTGTGAAGTTTATGAATGGCAAAAACAAATGATTGAGCAAGTATCTGTACCTGGACTCTTGCCTCTGTCAAAGTTAGACGTGTCGCCAGTTCTTCTCTAGGGAAATAAAGAGATGTTGATCTATGAACAGTTTAAACAGTCCTCTATAATAAACATGATTGAACAGTAAAGGTATGTCGTAGTATAAAACTAAGAGTAACAAAGACTCCCACTACTAATGTCAATAACTAGTAGTAATGATAGCATATCATGTGTTTACCTGGCAAAAACGTCTGGATAATGAGATTTGCAGAAAGCCCTCTCCAGTTGTTCCAGCTGAAAGTTACTAAAAGTGGTTCGATAACGTCGTTGCTTCCTTGAGTTGATGTGTCCACCTGAACTTGGTGCTTTCAGCTGCTTTGTTTGGTTTCTGTTGGAGCCTAGCTCTGTCCCTCTGTTAGTATTTACTGTCATCTCTTTCCTAGTATCTTGTAGCTGTAAAGTTTGTTTGTTCTCCTCAGGAGCAATATGATGAGCGATATGATCTGTTTTTGATATTTGCTTGGACTTGTTGGATTGACTCTCAGTCCCTTCGAGAGAGATTGGACCCATGGAATCCACTGTTTGAAATATGTACACAGTTATCTATCATGTGAACAGAATTGTCTTCCACTATTTGGAAATCTCACCAACACAATATCCTCTGCTGCACTTACAAAATTGAATTGACAATCTTCCAAATGTTGGTTTTGAAACAAATGGTACGTACCTCCTCTGTTGATCGCAGTGTCTTTACTCTCACCTATGCTCAGAATGGAATCAATCAAATAAGATGATGCAAATGGACGTTTCTCTAGCCCATGTGATGACTGAGGTTTAGAAGACCCCCTCATAGCTGTCTCAATCATTTGTCCTTTCCAGATCTCACAGTTACTCTGACAGAGTCAGCTGTCTACAAAGCATTGGCTCTCAAATAGTGGAAACTGTGCTTCTCTTTATTGGCCCATCACTGTAGTGTTATCAATGTCATTAGCATTTTGACTTTTCCATATGGCAGGAGAGGGAACAGTAGAGGTAGGAGGAAGACGTTTGTGTCCACTTGTTTGTGAATGTGTATTGACAGCCCTACTTTACCTTGATTGTGCAAAACGAAGTAATACTACTATCAATACTAAAATACATTTTATTTAGTGAAAGCAGCACAAACAGTAGAAATGTAGCTTTCTCTTTGAGATAAAGTTGTAATAGGTTCTTTGACCATATATTCTAAATATATTATTATGGAGGACTTCCGTTTACTACTTGCAATATGATTTCACTCAATTAGGACTTTTATAACACTAAGCGACCGGGAGACCCATGGGGCGGCGCACAATTGGCCCAGCATCGTCCAGGGTAGGGGAGGGAATGGCCAGAAGGGATGTAGCTCAGTTGGTAGAGCATGGCGTTTGCAACGCCAGGGTTGTGGGTTCGTTTCCCACGGGGGGCCAGTATGAAAATGTATGCACTCACTAACTGTATGTCGCTCTGGATAAGAGCGTCTGCTAAATGACTAAAATGTAAATGTAAATGAGAACATTTATTGATGATTGGAGATGGGTGCCCCCTGGTGGCCAACTGTGGAACCGACTGTGGAACGAAAAAGGATGAGATCTGAACTGCATGACTATGTACATCGTTTTTAGCAGTGACATACATGTCCAAATTAAGCATATCTTTGTTGAAATCCGTCACATATTTATCTTGTATACATTCAACACCAGATCTAATGAGACAAATAGTCCTATAAAGTCTGAAGTGTCTCTTGCCTGCATTTCTACATGCTCTGTTGGTCAGTAAATCAGACCATTGACTACAGATGGAACTTTTTCCTCTTTAACATTTTTTACAAGTAAGACTATGGATTCTATCTATAAAGATGTTTTATTATCTTGAGCATGCTATGTCATGCTGGCAGTTGCAGGACAGAGGTTTCCATCATTGCAGCATTCTCCATCGACAGCATCGCTGCTGCTGTGCTGCAGAGAGCTTTTGGTGAGTCAGGGCTCTCACATAGGCTCCTCAAGTCATCTTAAAGCTTGCTCATTGGTGCAGAATTCAGAATGTTGTGACTGATTGTTGTCCATACAGCACAAATCAGTCCAAATCAGAGGGCTTTCCCAGAATAATGTAATTAATTATTCAAACCTATATTGGACACCCACATTAATAGATACATTCCAAACACTCCTGGGGCTATTTGAAAAAAGGAATATGGAAATCAGCTAATTGAATTTTATCAGTGAGGAGGCAGACATATGGAGGCCAGCCTACAATTAGGTGTTAATGCTGTTTAATGGAAGCATGGAGGGGGCTCTGATGAATGTACAGGAGAACTCTGCCTCTTCATGATTTATGACAAGGACTATTTGTAGGGAAGCAGCAGGAAGGGCTCCAATTTGAAATCCCCAACCTCAATTTGTCACGCAGACACAGGGTGTCAATATCACCACGCACATCCATTTGGAATCCCAGCCAGCCTGTCCTTCAATTAGCCAGCTATAGCCTGCTCCATGCTGTACAGCTTTTTTGCTGCCACTTTGAAAATACCAGCATACCGACTGACAAATTGACCAAGCACTCTTTTTGATGTTAGCAAGATGCTGTTCATTTGGCCAATGATGTAAATGCTTGAAATGTGGTAATGTGCACCAGCATGGCTTCACTTATGCAAATCATTTTTTTGAATTAACATGCCACTGGAATGGATATTTTACATAAATTGATTTGAATCATTGAGGATAATGTGAAATCGGTGTGTGTGTGGTGTGTGTGTGCACTCGGGCAGTGGTGCGTGCGTGGGCGTTTGTGGGCGTGCGTGTGTACTGCATCACCGTGTTGGATTTTCAAGACAACAAATTCGAAACCAACCAATCGGAACCATTTTCTACCAGATGATGTCAGATTATTAGCATGTATCCTATGATGTTGCTGTTAGGGTAAAATAATAATATCCCAACAGTTACTGTGGTTCATTGGCCACTGGATGGCAGTAGTATATCATGTGGAATAATGTCATAGTTAAATTCTAAACGTATATTTGAATGACTTTACGTTTCATCCACAGGAATGACCCTTATGTTTAAGATGCAACTTGAGCACACAGTGAATACATGAATATTCACAAAATGGTAGTGCTCATAAGGGCTTACATTATATTTCTCTTCTCTTGTGAGATAGGAAACCTCTTTTCTTCACATTGACACATACTACTTTTGTCACCAAGCCAAAGACGAATGCTTCAAAGTAAAGTTGGATCATTGCTCAGAACCATATCCGTGCTCTGCCCAAGTGGCAGTTTGTCAAACACCTCTGGGATCTGGGTTTTTGTGACAAAAGACAGCAGAGTGTGCTGAGCCCTCAGTTGTTACATTTTACAAAGACGTTAAGCAGAAAAGTGTAAATGTATATCAAGAGAATGGGAAGAGAAGGGGTGACTCCTTGGGTTCTCGGTAGGAAAAGATACGTGTTGAAAGTCAGATTTATAGATTCTGACAGAAAGGATTCTTACATCTTGCTCCAAGACTGTGGAAAAACAAGTTATTTTCTGTTGAAGTACAATGCAAATTATATTTTTAACTGCAGTCCCGTTCAATCTACTGACCCCCACTCCACCACTGTGCACTCTTCTCTTCCCTGTAATGTCTGGCGTCTTTTGAAAATGCCAAATGCATTATCTCTCAAAATTAAATATTTGTCTAAGCATACCAGCATGGAAACATTTGATTATAATCGTTCATCACATTTATTTTTGCTTCAGCTACTTTTCTACTTTCACAGCTTAGGTTTCTATGTGTTCAGATCAGCATATTGCCCCACGGCAGCATTCACGATTCCCCCATTAGAGTCCTGTGAGGACTGACCTGCAGAGTGTGTCCTCATCCTTTCCTGTCATCCTGCGCTACAATGGGTGCCCTCCCCCTCCATCCCTCTATCTCTCCATCCCTCCATCCCAGGCGGTCTGGTTGATGAACCCGATGCAGAGAGAGAGAGAGAGTAAGAGGGAGAGAGAGACAGAGAGAGAGAGAGTAAGAGGGAGAGAGAGACAGGGACAGAGATAGGAGACTTCCTCCTCGAAATACTGCTGAGTCATCTTGATCACTCGCCAATTTGCTGTCAGAATTCAAATTAAAAACTTGGTGTGAATTAGATAGTTTTATGTCTCTGTATGACAGCTTTTTATATTAAATGGTTTACAAGAATCACATTGTTTATCATGGGAGCAGGTTGTCATGCATATGAATGAGGCCCAGGTGTTAATCCCATGCTGGTTCCTTTTCCAGGCACATCTCCCCATTACAACCCGCTCTCTCATATTTCACTATAAGTGTTTGCTTCAATAATTACCTCAAAACACCACTGTCAATTGGCCTTCCGTATGATTAGCCCCAAGGCAATATTGGTTCAATTACATCCTACATTTAGCTATACACTGGTTTTCATCGGTCTGAACTGTTTTGATAGGTTGAAATATCGTGTAATTTTGCAGCTCTTTGATGGTTCATACTGATTTAGATACAGAACAAAGTCATTGGACATTCTGTCTCTCTCCATTGAAAGTCTGATAGAGGAAGGCAGCCATGTGTTTGACACAGTTTTTCTAACACTCATTTAGGGCCGATTATTGGCCCTTTATGGGCTGTAAAGTGCTGATTTGCTGGGCAGCAGGGAGTCAAACTTATTGGGCCATAAACCTGATGGTGCATTACAACATCTTTAACATGCAATAACGGTTGAGTGAGGCCAAAGATGCTCTCAGGGTAAGAGCAAGAACTCATGGAGAGTCTTGTTAACTGTACTTTATCTATCTACTGTGTGGGTTGTTTTCCGTGGGTTTGCTTGTATACTCCTCAAAAAGAACAACATCGCACATGTTGTGTAATGATTGTAGCTACAGTAATGAGCATCAAGTGTATATGCAGTATGTTGTTTTAAAGGCCCAGTGCAGTCAAACACGTGATTTTCCTGTGTTGTATATATATTTCCACACTGCGGTTGGAGTGTTACTGTGAAATTGTGAAAATTAGGATAATGCCCTTTTAGTGTAAGAGCTGTTTGAGAAGACTGCCTGAAATTTCAGCCTGTTTTGGTGGGGTGGAGTTTTGGCCTGCCTGGTGACATCACCAGGTGGTAAGTTAGAAAGAGAGTTCCAAACCTCTGCCAATAACAGCTAGTTTTCAGTTTCCCCCTCCTAGGGATGGGCATGAGTACTTGAGTACTCGAACGGAAGTCACAGCTCGATCTCTAACCAGAGATTACATTTTTTTCCAATACTGTAAAACTATTTGGTAGAATGTGCTTTGTGGCTGCTCAAATGGGCAAGTGAAATTTTGTCTTGAAGACAACGTTAATTTGCTTTGACTCTAGTGTTCCATTTGTACATGTGCATTTGTGGGGACAACAAAAAAGAAGCCAAGCCAAGCATCACACAGTTCTCCCGAACTTCACTTTCCCCTCTGTGTCTTGTTCAATTGCTTTCCGACCGCTCCCTCCACACTGGCCTGCTGAGTGCACAGTTGCACACACAAGCTCCCGTTAGGCCTACAAAAATAAATGCCTATAGAAGCGTATCT